AAAAATTCAAAGAAGAATTTTATACCCAGACAAACTATGAAGGAGATCCCTAATTGAAGGAGAAATTAGATCCTTTCTCAGATAAGCAAATGTTAAGGGAGTTCATTACGACTGCATCTGCCTTACAAGAGATCTTGAAAAGAGGTGGGGAGCTGGGGAGAGATAGCAAGGGGAGAAATGCCAGATGTAGGTGATGGGGAGGAAGGCAGCAAATCACACTGCCACGTGTGTACCTATGTAACAATTTCGCATGTTCTTCACATGTACCCCCAAACCTAAAATGCAATAAAATAAATAAATGGGGGGAAAAAAAGATAAACTACCAAGAATTTGTATGTAGGATTAAGAGTCGCTTGACTGACATAGAGTAACAATCAAATAATTAAATTACCAGGGCTAGACACCAAGTACTTCAGGAAGATCCATCCCAACTTACATATACTTATAACAAAGTTTCAGACAAGAAGCTAGGAATGGGGTGTCTTGGCACACCTCTGAGGTCTCCAGCCACCATTCTCATTTATCTTCCTGAGTTTGTGAAAAACATTATGGTCTGACACTTACTTCTAGGGTTCTCTTTAGATATCGTATGTTGATTACTTCTAGATCTTATTTTGCATTTTTACTAACAGTATTTCATTATTTGTAATAAGTAAAATGCACAAATCAAGTGTAAAACTTGAAGAATTTTAAGAACGGTAGACACAGTGTAACCATTAGACAAAACAAGAAAAGGAATATTTGTCATCCCAGAAAGCACCCTTGTTACCTTGTCCAACACATCCTAATATCTGTCAGCATAGATTTAGTTTTGCCTATTTCTGAACTAACTTACAATTAAATCATACAATACATACTCTTCTATGTCTGTCCTACTTCTTTCATAAGACATATTTTTGAGATTCATTTATGTGTCTGTACATAATGTCAGTAGTTTATTCTTTTGTATTGCTCAGTCCAGTTTCTTTGCTGTGAAGATTCCAGTGTGTTTACACTTTCTCTTATTGATGAGCATTCGGGTTGTTTTCAATTATAGGCTATTACGAATTGAGCTGCTATGGATATTCTTAAATGTGTCTTTCTGTAGGCATACGGGTTTATTTCTCCAGTTCCTAGGAATGGAATCGCTGGGTCATAGAGCAGGTTTATGTGTAAACTTTTAAGAAATTGACAGTTTACCAAAGTGACAATAGCATTTTACAATCCTACCAGCAGTTTGTAAAAACTGGTTTTGTTCTGCATTCTTACCCACACATAGTCTCATCAAAATTTTTTATTGTAGAAGATGTGTAATGATGTTTCATTGTGGCTTTCAGTTTCTTTACTCCCTGCTGAGTAATAATGTTTATCAAATTTTCATATGGTTATTGATAATTTGGAGATCTCCTTTTCCAAACTGCCTGGGAGAGTTACTTTTGTCTCTTTGTTTAGATAGGGCATTTGTTTTCCCCTAATTAATTTGTAGAAGGTTGTTATATATTCTGTATATTAGTTTTTTCTTTCATATCTCATATTTCATATGATGCCCTGTCTGGGTTTTGCATTTTCACTTTTGCTTCCTGACAGTTTTTTAATTTTGAAAAACTGTAATTTTTATGTTTTCTTTTATGGTTCTTTTCTTATCTGTGTTAAGAATCTTTGGCTGTCTGAGAATCACAAAAGTATATACCTGTTTTATTTCTAGAAAATATAGTTTTTGCTTTCAGATGTAGGTAAATTATTCATTTCAATTTAAATTTTAGATATGATATGATGTCAGACTTAAAGTTTATTTTCTATTCTCATTTGGATACGCAGTTGTTCTAGAACCATTTATTAGAAATATGTTGCTTTCACTACTGAATCATTTTGCTATGTTAAAACTGAACTGAGTGAAGATGTGTTGTCTATGTTTTGAACTATCTGTTGAGTAAAGATGTATGGTCTATGTTTTGGACTCTGTTCTGTTAGTTGATCTATGTAAGTATCATCATGGCAACTATACAATATATATATATATATATTTTTTTTTTTTTTTTTTGAGATGGAGTCTCACTCTCGTTGCCCAGGCTGGAATGCAATGGTGTGATCTCAACTCACTGCAATCTCCACCTTCCAGGTTCAAGCGATTCTCCCACCTCAGCCCCCTGAGTAGCTGGGATTACAGGTGCCGATGACCATACCTGGCTAATTTTTATACTTTTAGTAGAGATGAGGTTTTACCATGTTGGCCATGCTGGTCCTGAACTCCTGACCTCAGGTGATCTGCCCGCCTTGGCCTCCCAAAGTGCTGGGATTACAGGCGTGAGCCACTGCCCCAGCCCAACTATATGATCTGAACACTTGTGGCTTTTTATACACTGTCTCAAAGTCATGTAGTGTAAAACCTTCAATTATTTCCTCATTCTTTTAAAATATTTATTCGGTTAAGTCCTTTAGATTTCCATATAAATTTTAGAGTTAGTTTTTTCAATATTTACAAAAAGAAAATCCTTTAAGGATTTTGAGTGGGATTGTATTAAATTTCTAAATCAACTTTAAGAGAATTAACATCTTAACAATGTTAGTCTTCTGACCTATGAGCATAAAATCTATCTTCATTTTTTAAAATTTTATCTAATTTGTCAGCAGGTTTTTTAGTTTTAAGTGTAGAAATTTTATATTTCCCAAAGTAAACCTATGTCCATATAATTTATGAAATATTTGATGCTATTGTAAATAACATCTTTATTCAGTTTCCAAAACTATATACTAGTTTCTTGCTAGTATATAGAAATAGAATTTGTTTTTGGTGTACCATCCTTATACTCAGCTATCTTCATGAATGCATTATTACTATATGATTTGTTTGTAGAGTTTTTCTCTGTACAAAATTATGTCATCAGTGTATAATGACAATTATTACTTAATGTAATTGTTAATATAAGTAAGTTTGTGTTTACAATCTAGTTATTTGTTTCCTATAGTTTTCAGTAATATTATATTTATGTTTGTTATGGGGATTACAAATGCATCTGTAGCTTATGAAAGTTTTTCTTCAACTAACATTTTACCAGTGAATATATAAGGACCTTAAAACAGCAAAAAATGCATCTATCCTCTTTCCCATCCTTTGTTGTATTGTTGTCTACTTTCATTTCTACATGTTATAAACTCTAGCATTGTTATTAGTTGGGTTTAAACAATTTTCTGTATATGTAGGGTATGTATATACTATTTCTGATAATATTCATTTGTCTCTGAAGATCCAGGTTTTTAACTGGAATCATTGCTTTTCAGCTGAGAGAACATTAGTATTTCTTGTACTGCTAACTGCTAATCAAAAATTTTTGTACATTTTTCTAAAATTGCCTTTATCTTCACTTTTTAGAATGAATGTTCACTTAGTATAGAATTCTGGGGTTTTCTTCCAGTGTTTTAAAGATATTATTCTACTGACTTCTGGTTTTGTTGCTTCTGCTGAAAAGTCAGCTGTAATTATTGTTTTTCCTCTGGTAAAAAGTTCTACATGACTTTCACCTCTGGCTACACCTAACATTTTCCATTTAATTTTGATTTTAAATCTTTTATCTATGATCTGTGTTTAGTAATCTTTGCTTTTATCCTGATTGAGTTTTAACAAACTGAGTCCATGCACTAATGTTTTTTACTAATTGGGGACAAAAGTTTTGTCCCCAATTCATAAAAATCATTAGCACATGGATTGAGTTTGCCCCAATTTTAGGCAAAATTATGCCTTCAAATATTTTTTCTGTCCCTTTTGATCATCATTCACCTCTCCTCTTGCATCTTGGATTATATGTATATTTTAGACCATCTGTTACTGTCCCACAATTCTCAAGTGCTCTGTTCTGTATTTTCTTTTTTCTCTCTGAGCTCTATCACTTATAGAGGTGAATACTCTGTGTTGTATGAAATGCTGTTTTTTAAGACATTCCTCTTGAAGTTTATTATTGCAGTTATATGCTACATAACATTTTTGGTCAATGATGGCCTGCACATATGACAGTATTCCCATAAAATTTATAATAGAGCTGTATATTAGAGTAGGCTCTACCATTTAAGTTGTTATATGTATTCTATGATGTTCGTATGTCAAAAATCTCCTAATGACACATTTCTCAGAATGTATCCCCTTTGTTAAGCAGTATTTGAGTGTAGTTATAAATTGTTTGATTTCTTACATCTCTCAAGTAATTTTTTTTTCAGAAAAGATGTATAAAAGATGTATGGATGATAACATTTCAAGGTTCTGAGGTACAGAAATCTATATTTTCTCTCAAATCTTTGAAATAGTTGCTTTATTTTATTCCAACTAGAATTCTCAGTTGTAAGATATTATTTAATCTATTAGTATTAGAAAGCTTTTAGGTCTCCAACTCTAACACTTCCAATAAGAAAGTTTCTCTGTTTCAAATCAGAATATAGTAAAGATATCATAGAAAAAACAATGAAATCATAAAATTTAAAAACAAAATATCTTCAGAAGAATGGGAGGAAATTTGTTAAAAAATTTTCCAGAATATAGAGAAGCAAGACAAAAGAAGCAAATATTAGAGAAAACTGAAAAAGATCTAGAATGTTGCTGGACAGGGTACAATTTTAAATAAAATGGTTAAGTTACATATGTTGAAAAGTAGCATTTAGGAAAAAGAGTTCAGGTAAAGAAGTCATTGGATATCTGAGAACAATCACCACAGACGAAAACAGCAGCATTCCAGGTATGTTCAAGGAACAACATGGAGGCCCATAGTTAATTCAGATGGATCAGAGACCGCAAGATAGAAACTGGTAGTAATGAAATCTTGAAAGTAATAGAGGATGTGTTTTTGTAACGTTTAGAGAAATGTGGACCCTTACAGTAATTTGTGTCTTACCTTGGATGAAATGGGGACCCATTGCTAGCTTTTGGGAAATAACATAATATGTATTGCATATTTTAACATATCACTGCACTGAGACAAAATTGGATATAAGGTATAAAAAAATGAACTCATGGAAGAGTCCAGTTCATTTGTTTTTAGAGTTTTTAAATTTTTATTATTATATGTTTATACATCCTGAACAATTAAATGATGAATAAGACTAGGCTGCAACAGGTCTAAGAGGTACACCAAGGGTTCAGTTATAGATATATTGCTTTAGATGCCTACCATACATCTTTCTTTAAATTTTAAGTTACGTGATACATGCGCAGGATGTGCAGGTTTGTTACGTAGGTCAACGTGTGCCATGGTGGTTTGCTGCATCAAATCATCTGTGTTTGTAGATGACATGAGCCTATATCTAGAAAACCCCATCCCAGCCCAAAAAGCTTCTTAAGCTGATAAGCAACTCTAGCAAAATCTTAAGAAACAAAATCAAAAATCAATGTGCAAAAATCACAAGCACTTCTATACACCATCAACAGACAATCAGAGAGCCAAATCATGAATGATTTCCGATTCACAATTACTACAAAAAGAATAAAATACCTAGGAATACAGCCAACAAGGGAAGTGAATGATCTCTTCAAGGACAACTACAAACCACTGCTCAAGGAAATAAGGGAGGACACAAGTAAATGGAAAAACATTCCATGCTTATGAATAGGAAGAATCAATATCATGAAAATGGCCATGCTGCCCAAAGTAAAGTATAGATTCAGTGCTGTTCCCATTATAATACCATTGACTTTCTTCATGGAATTAGACAGAAAAAAAAAAAAAAACTTTAAATTTTATATGGAACCAAAAATGAGCCCAAATAGCTAAGACAATTCTAAACAAAAAGAACAAAGGTGGAGGTATCATGCCACCAGACTTCAAACTATACTACAAGGCAACAGTAACTAAAATAGCATGTTACTGATACAAAAACAGACACATAGACCAATGGAACAGCGTAGAGATCTCAGATATAAGAGTGCATATCTACATCCGTCTGATTTTTGACAAACCTAACAAAAACAAGCAATGCGGAAAGGATTTCCTATTTAATAAATGGTGCTGGGAAAGCCGGCTAGCCATATGCATAAATACTATTTAAGTAGTTGTTTATGTGATTCTGAAGTATGATTATCTTTTCAGGAGAATTCTGTGCTGGAGATTTACATCTGGGAAACATAAGCATGGATAAAGCATGAAATCACTTAATTTGCTCACATTATAACTGCCTTTATTCTCCTTATAAATAGCGTTATTGTTTTAAAAATATTAAACAAATAGTAATATTTTAGCAAACAGTATTTAAAGTTTAACAATAGTATTTAATATTAAAAACAATAATTATTTTAAACAATATTCTTAACAATAAAAGAAACAGTTCTTAACTGGAAACCATCATTCTCAGCAAACTGACAGAAGAGCAGAAGATCAAACACCGCATGTTCTCACTCATAGGAGGGTGTTGAACAATGAGAACACATGGACACAGGGAGGGGAGCACTACACACTGGGGTCAGTTGGGGGGGAAATAGGGGAGGGACGGTGGGGGGTGGGGAGCTGGGGAGAGATAGCAAGGGGAGAAATGCCAGATGTAGGTGATGGGGAGGAAGGCAGCAAATCACACTGCCACGTGTGTACCTATGCAATAATTTTGCATGTTCTTCACATGTACCCCAAAACCTAAAATGCAATAAAACAAATAAATGGGAAAAAAAATGCATTTTACAAGGCAAAAAAAAAAAAGAATAAAACATTGTTTTAAACTTAGCGAAGTTTAAAACTTCACTAACTAGAATAATTTGTATAATGTTTAAATTTAAAGAAATACACAGGGTTACAATTAGAAACTTAAAATATTTTAGATAGTATTTTAATATTCTGATATACAGTACTAAAATCAATAGAAGGGAAACTTCTCTTTAGCATACATAAAATTAAAAACTACAAATCAGTAATAGCCAAATAATTCTGTATCTAATTGATGACATTCTGTATCTAATAGACATCTAATTGTGTCTATGATACATTATCTATATAAATTTGAACCATAAAAGTCATACAAGTTTGTGCACTTACATAAACGTAGATGATATAGCCTACTTCATTATATAGCTTCATTATAATCTTATGGGGTCATCATAAGATTTGCAATCTATCACTGACCAAAATGTTCTTTGTCACTGAACTTCAAGAGGAATATCTTTAAAAACACAGAATCCAAACTCAGGGGATAGTAATTACCTCAAACTTTGCATGTTTCTTTCTTATGTAACTCTTGTGTAACTATGTGTCATGATTTAAATGCTTTAGCTGAATTCATTTTTTAAACTTCCACAGTATATTTTTTTCACTCAACTTTTAAATATCAATGGCTAATTAGTGAGTACACATGTATATAAAAAATACTCAAACTTAAGTTTTTAAAAAGTTTTATTTTAGTCATATTTAAATATTTTCTGATATGCTGGTTTATCCGTCTTCCTGAATTTATTTGTTCTGTTTTGCTTGCTTTTGGTAAATTATAAAAATTTAGTGTCAGCTAAGAAATAAAGGAAAGACAATAATAGGGAAAATTCATGAATTAATAAGATTTAAAACACAACAGATTAAGTTTTATATGATGAAGTCCGAAGGAAATGAAGACTATTGTTAGTACATGATGATGCTGATATCAACTTTACCTAGTATAGTTCAGTGTTTTCAAAATGTTTGAACAGTCTTCACCTAGGTGCTTGTTAAAAATGCATTTTCCAAATCCACTGTACCTACCGAATGAAACTCTGTGGAGCTTGGGGTCAGGAAGCCTGGGAGTCTATATTTTAATTACTTTTTCATTTTGGGAACCTCTGAGAGTTTTATAGTTTACAAATTATTAATTCATTTGATCATCATCATACCTACATACATGTAATATTCTGGGCAGTTGCTATTATCTCCCAGTATACATGCTCCTTAACTTATGATGCAGTTATATCCCAATAGACCCACTGTAAGTTAAAATTATCATAAACCAAACATGTTTCTGATATGATAATTTCAGTTTAGGATGGATTTATCCAGATAAAACATCCTCATAAGTTAAGTAGCATACTGAATGTGTATTGCTTTCATCATCA